ATACAGCCATTGTTGATAGTTTAGGTAAGCTACTCCATGTTACTGCTGCCTCAGCACTCATTTTGTTTGGCTAAGAGGCCTGCAAAGAGCTTAGACGATACTAGCTCCCTTATACAAATACATGTCCTGGACAGCAGTCGCAGAGTCACAAGCAAATGTAAGTTCCTGATTTTGACTTCTCCAACAGCCCTTGTGATCAATAGTGTCCCCTGCCTCCTAGGGCAAGCATACTTTATGTATCTCTTAGATAAGACCCTTTCGGTACTTACCAAAACCCATCTCTTTTTATTTGAATTTACCAATCCAACCCTAGTTCAGGAATGCCAACACACGCTATCCACAAACTCTAATACAGGCATGTGCCCCAGGTCCCTTATCTTGAGCTCTCGCTTTTGCTGGCTGTCTCCGTTCTGCCTTGACCTCCCCATTTGGCCCCTCCAGGCATGAGTAATACTTTACTGCAATTTATCTCCAGTCAGCTGTTGAATTCAGGCTTACCATTCTGTACTCTGGGTGCTCCACTTAACAAATGTTAATTTAACAGAGTCAGAACACCACACTCTGCCTTCTGCCTTCAGGAAATTGACAGCACACTGAGGGCAGAGGCGAAGAATGCAGTCAGTTATTAACACATTACTACTATAATGCAGTGAGTCAAGTGCTCTGACAGAAGTACACAAACGGTGCTGAGAGAAAAAGTGGGCATCAGAAACAATTGGTAGGGATTTCTTGAAGGGTGAATTGATAATGAAGGAAAGAAGAAAGGACATTGAAGGCAGAAGTGCAGCAAGAGGTGAAGAATTGATTGACTTTAAAGTAATGGTAATAATAAAAATTTTAGCCACTATCTATTTAGCACTTATTATGTGCTAGGGATGCTTATAATAAGGTTAAGTACCATTGCTAGCTCCCTCTTACAGGTCTGGAAGTGGAGGGAGACTTAGAAAGGATAAGTGGCTTACCAATGATCACCAGTGAGCGAGCTGTATGACCAGAAGGTCTAAAACAGTCTCAATTCTTTCTTATTCCCTCTGGGAGAGGGAAGGGGAGAAGCAGTGACAGATGATGCTGAAGAGGTACAATTTGTAAGGTGCTGTTTGTTAAATTATGGGAGTTCTAATTTTCTGAAGGCTACAGGGACACATAAGGATTTTAATCTTGGTGTGACTTGACTGGATTTAGTTTGGAAAGATCAGATGATAAAAACGGACTTTCCAGAACCAGAACTGGAGGCTGGAGTGATCAGTTAAGGTGTTGAAGTCATGTTGGGGAGATATAACAGGCACTAAGATAGTAGTAATCGAGATGAAGAGAAGGGAACATTGAAAAAAAATATTTCAAGCCCAGCCAGCATGGCTCAGTGCTTGAGCGTTGATCTACGAACTAGGAGGTCACGGTTTGGTTCGATTCCCTGCCAGGGCATATGCCCAAGTTGTGGACTTGATCCCCAATGTGGGGCATGCAGGAGGCAGCTGATCAATGATTCTCTCTCGTCATTGATGTCTCTCTCTCCCTCTCCTTTCTTCTTTTTCTAAAATCAATAAAAACATATTTTTAAAATATTTCAAGGTAGAAATGATAATCCTGGTAAACCAACTAGAATTAAATATTAGGGCACTGTGTTCAGATAATTACATTGAGACAGTAACATGTGTATTTCATAGAATATGGTATCTTACATAGTAAACATCTAATATATGGTATCTTTACAATTCTCCAAATCTTGAGAAAACAGGAGAAATATTTGAGTGGGAGGAATTGAAGAGTTTACTTTTAGGTGTTCATTTACATTAATTGGATCAGGGTGGGCTCATATAGAGAATGGGATTTGAAGAGAACCCTATGGGGGGAAAAAGGTTTAAACTTGATGAGATGAGCCCTGCTAAAGTGGAGATTCTGTGCTGAAGGCAAAGTTGGCTTTCAGTTCAGCCAAAAAGGCAGAATGGAGCAAGAAGGGCCAAAACAATAGGACACTTGTGAAAAGAAAGGGGAGGCAGGCCAGGTCAAGGAAGTAGGAGGTCCATAACTTTGAGGGGTAAGAATAAGGCAGAAAATAGAGAACTAGACATTTTGAATGGTAATCAAGGATAGCAATTATAAAATTGTATACCTGAAACCTATATAATTTTGTTAACCAATGGCACACCAATAAATCAAAAAGAAATTTAAAAAACGGGGGCAAGAGAATATTATCTAGTCTCAATTTATAAAAGGTAACTTGACCAAATTTCTTTTCATAGCATTACTTCTGGTAAGTGAAAATGGGCAAGAGAGTGGGAAGATTTTGACTTTACATACTTTCATACTGTTAGAAAAAATTTTACACCATGAAAATGTATTATAATTATTGAAAAGCTAGATGGAGCATGTACTAATAGGGTATGTAGTTATCTAAAGTACACATTTAAATAAAAGTATTACTGTAGTAAGATTTTACTGTTGGAAAGGGAAAATCATTAGAGTCTAAAACCCTACTCCATTTTCCACTCTAGCTCTCATATTAACCTATAAGCTTGGCATTCCTGACACCCTTCCTCCTGCTTTCCTCCACTCTAATTCACTTATGCTGAAATATTTCTGTGAGAAAAAAATAAAAATCAAGAAAATGAATTGTATGCAGCGTAGATTTTCTATTTGATTAAGTCTATTTCTTTTTAATTGTTAGGAAATCTTACTGAGGATCACTGAAGAGGACTCTAGACCCTGAAAAAGTTGATATTCAAGGTAGTAGAACATTCCTATTAAGTGAGTTGAAAGTCTAAACCATTGTAGGCCCTCCGGTCCAGTTTAAGAACCCATTGTGGCCCTCGAGTCAAAAAGTTTGCCCACCCCTGGCTAAACCATTGTAAAGGGTTAATCTGGAAAAATTCCGGTTAACTGTTTACCTTACCTATCTTTTTACACTTTTACTTGACCCTAACTGAATCAAGTAGCCCCATGTGATTTTATCTAAAGCGTGCAGGAAAACAGAGGGGAATAAATGAAAGGGCTGTTCTGCCTCAGAGTTCCACTACTTCGGTCTAGTGTGCCTTTACCCAGTATACAAGTGGTCAAAGATGTTTTGTTGCAAGATATATAAAAAGTGTGCAAAGATGTAGGACAGTGAGAATTGTGCTACCAAATTTGAAGGTAGCACTTGTTATAGCACTGGTTCAGCAAGATCTTGGAAAATTATCTAATGTTTATCTTGCATTGGTTCTTATACTATCTCTGGATTCCAAAATAAGGCTTTTATACCTTCTTCAAAGAACTGTGGCTGGAATGTAGGACTAGTCTAAACACTGACAAAATGAATGCTGTAAGCTGAGCAGTTCTTTAAGGGAATCAGCCTAATTTTGTAAAGGGTTGCTATTATTAAATGTTTTATATGGCCTTCACTGAAATTTCCCTTTGGTTTACAAATTTGGTTTGTAGGTCAGAATATTTCCTTAACTTTGACAATTCAAATTTCCCAACTCTGTCTTGTTTACTTGAAACACTAGTTTTTATGGCATACGGTTTGTAGAGAAAGCCAATATAACCTGTGGCTAAGGGCTTTTATTCGCAGTTATGTAAGGTATCTTGCTCTGTATATGCAGGAATTCCCTTGCTATTGTGAAATACCTCCTCTCCCCTTTGTTATTTGTGGGGGAGTGCTGGGAAAATCTTGAACTTCTCCACTCCTCCTCAGCACAAATTTTACCATTATTTTTTAGATGTGAGAGGGAAATGCATTATTAACACACAGCAAAGGTTTCTTTAAAAATAAAATCCTTTTAAAGCATGTTTGAGCCTCTACTAATTGTTTTCTTAGGAACTTATTGTATCTTTATGGATTCTTCCACCAAATTTATTTTTCAAATGTTGATAGCAAATAGTAATTTGTTATAGATTACAGGCATAGAGAACTTGGCGTTTTGTCTTAGTTCTCATGATAAATGCTTACTAGTGAAAAGCTTATTACTGAATTGCTCTTCCTTCTTTTAATGTTCTACTCAGGACTTTCACTGGGTTTGAAAACCACATATTAAACAATAGGTTTATTTCTTTCATGAATAAACACTACAATCTATTGGTCAACTAAATAAGCAAATTCAGCAATTGCCTATGTGTTAACCAGCTGAGGAATATTTCTATGGCATTTTTTTAAAGGAAGAATATACTTTATGACTTAACTAGCTTAAAATAAGTACAATGGAATGCCAAGTTATTTATTTTTGGTATGAAATAACTTAAACTTTGGGCAGTGTTTGAAGTTGATTGATTCAGATGGTATTACTGGTGGTGGTGGTGGTGTAAAATCATAGGTCTTTTAATTATCTTTTTTTTTTTCAATGAAAAAGAAGGGGGAGGAGCAAAAATCTATTTGGAATTTATCCTTAAAAATGCAACCATCAAGACCAGTCCCATGAGTGAGGCTGTAAAGTTGCTGTGCCATTAGTATTAAGTTGATTTTACATATGAAAAGAAATATTTTCAGGAAAAATAAACTGCATATTGAGGCTAACACATCATTCACCTAGTGTTGTTGGGCAAATACATCCATATGCTGAAGCACACAGTGGCCTTAATGGGAAATATACTTGTTCAGGATAACTAAGGAGCTATTAAGTGTTTTTCAAAACACATATTTAAATAGATACTTTCATAATTATATTCTCCTGGTGCCTGATATTTAAATAATAATTGTCAAACATACATAATAGTATTAATCCCCATATAACTCTCATTCAGATTCAACAATTATCAAGATTTTCCTCATCTATCCCATTAAATTATTTTTAATCATCATGTCATTTCACTCTTTTTTTAATAATTCTTTATTGTTGAAAGTATTACATATGTCTCCCCTTTCCCCCAGTTGGTCCCCTCCAGCTTATTTCACTCTTTCATCTGTTAGCATGCATCTCTTACACTGACATTACCATAAAGCCATTATCACCTGTAACAAAATATGAATACACATTCCTAGGTCTGGAATGCTGCCTAAATGTAGGAAAGCTATTTTCCATCAGAAATACCTCAGGGGAAGGGCACTCGTGAATGGAGAGGCATACATCTCCTCTGATGGCAGCTGAGTCTGTGTAGTTTTCTTCTCATTGCCAAATTAGCTGAGGGGATAAAAAGAGAAGTATTAGGAGCATTTTTCCGAAAACGAACTGTTGTTTAGTTTGGGGGATGCAAGAGAATATTTAGAATTCAAACTATAGTGTGATTTGCTACTTGTTCAGATGTGATTATGATATAAGAAATTAATGTGATGCAAATACACAAGGTATATTCCCAGCAGTTCATGTTTATAGCAGTATCCTCCTCCTTCTACATGTCTTCTTCCTAAATGCTCCTGGACCTTTTATTTTATGTAGTGAATTAATCACAAATGTTTTACAAGAACATTATCCAAGGTGTTACATATTTCAGAAAAGTAGAAATGGTTTGAATAGCAATTGCTGTAAACATTAAGAAGGAATGCTTTCTGAGTTGCTAATTAGGAACATTTTTCTTATTTATGTAAAAGGGCACACCAGGGGATTCCATTTGAAAGTACCTCAGTGATCAAACTTCTGATTAACTAAAAGGCAGAGACTGACTTTTTAACCAGTTACTTACCATTTTCTGTCCTAAATGGAGAATTACATTATCAAGTGAATAAGGGAACATATTTGGATATAAATATAACTACCTTTCTATTTATATTTAGGATTGCTTGTTCCTGAGTCAGAAAACTTTCTAATCTTTTTACTTGCCAGTGCTTTGAAACCTTAGATATTTGGTTTTGAAGTAAAAGCACATTAGAATAACTGTTTACTAAATTTCTGTTGGATAAGAACAACACAAATGATATCATTTTTGAAAAATATGTCAAGTAAATTAATATTTATCTTGACCATACATATTTTTGACACTTTCGGGTTTATAAGCTCAATAATACTAAATTGTACTTTCTTGTTTTAAGTGACACATCAAATTATATACTGGAAATAATAGCTATTGACCCATTTTAAGAATTCATCTACAATTTGCCACATTATGATTTTTATATGCTGTGAATTCAGTTAACATTGACCCATTCCAGCCAGCAACATGCTCTTTTAATAAACTGCTTGGGATTTGCATTTTACCTAAAAATCTATAATAAACCAAACATTTCCGTTCCTTTTTACTTGTAAGAACAACATATCTACAAAAGCTAAGGGGTCTTTAAATTAGAAAAATAGTGGTAAAATATTTACCATCATTTTAATATCCAGCTCTTTTTTAAATATCCAAATAATGGACCTAACAAGATAATAAGAATACTTCTGAGGTCCTACACACCCCCAGTACCCACAAGCACACCTAAGAGATTTTCAACATAAACATAATCATGCTCAGAGACTCATGGACAACAACAGGCATAAAAACAAGTTACTCTTACAAATATATCAAAGTCTTACCTGGTCTCTGTCCATTGATAAGAAGAAGACTCATCATAACAATTAAAAATACAAAAAATAATTGTTGAAATCTCATTTTTCTGCCACACTAAAATGGAGCAGTAGCTCTCAAAGTAAATCAAACTCCTTTGAACAGTCTGTGCAATATCTGTGTGGCTCTTCTCACATTCTAATGACAAACCTCGGAGAACTGCCAGCTGCCTTTTCCAGAAAGGTTAATGATCACATCAGACAAGGTTACTGGTGTGTTGTGCTGCGGTCAGAGCCTCCCCCGCCCCAAACCCCTCCTCCACTCCCCTCCTCCTTCCCCTCTGTCACTCCCCTTCATTTCCATAAGCAAATATTGGTGAAATAAACCATTCAAGTGTGCTGTAACTTCAGTGGAAGCCTACTCTGGAAGCTTTTAGGAGAGACTGATTTAATTCAATCTGGATTTGGCGAAATATGTAAAACTAGGCATGGCTTTGCCTCCTCCCCTCAACACTTGCATCTGTTTAAACTTTGTGTTGCCCATATTGGTCCCACATGCAGAAACCAGTGGAAATGACAGGAAGTCTCTCTTTTGTCCTTTTTCAGAAGGAATTCTGAAGCTCTAACTTAAGACTCCCAAATGCTTTGTGGCAGAATGTGCTGAATTGCTCTCTCATTACCAAATCTACTGTAAAGTGGTGCCTATTTATCTTAAATCTCTAAAATGCTTAATCTATGTGGGTTTATATCAATAAACATTCCTGGGGTTTAGAATGTTCTGCAATAAATCTGAAAAGAATTTATATTTTTATTTTGTAAAGTGCCATTTAAAAAGTAATGATCATTTTTATCTGCAATATGTCTAGGATTTTTAAAAAAAGAAAGTGTAGACAAGTCACAAACTCATGAAATCTGTGTTCTGTTAAAAGTTTTATATGTGGTGAAATACCAGGCTAACAGAATAGCACAGTCACAGAAATCAGAGCTCTCCCAACACATTCAGAAGGCACAAAAGCCATCAGTGTTGTCTTCTCACACATGCACTAACATCTCTTCTTGTTTAAAGTGCTTCCTTCTCCGTTATGAACTGAAGTTACTATACTTACTATAAAGTAAACCAAAAGAATCATGAAGAGACACTTTTGAAACACATGTAGAGCCAAAATACCAAATCTAAAGCATATGCAGCTTTTATGAACTATCAGCAATTTGTTACATTTGGCCTCTTTAGATTCAGGTAGTTGGTACTCAACCGTGGGCTTACTGAGTTTTGAAATTAATGTATGATTTGTCTTGATCTTGCAAGTCAGTTTGTAAAATTCCCTGCCTGCCTAATGTGGATAAAAAAGGGGCCATATACTGAACCTGACAAGCTCAGGGGAGGCCTACATAGCGCCTTACCAAAGCAGTGCTTCGTGGGTTGTCACGTGCTAGGCCGGTATTTTCCCCTAACAAAGGTCAATCTTTACCTCAACTGAGCCTGCCTGTTCCTTTTTTTTTTTTTTTTTTTGCATCTACAATAACATACCTGATAATGTACCTTTGGAATATCAAAGTAATTTCCTTTTTTTTCTGGCACAACCGCTGCACCAGAGCAGAGACCACAAATCCTCTCATTGTTATTATTATCATGTCAGTTGTTAACTGTTAACTACTCTATACCCACCTAAGTAAAAGAAGCATGTGTCTACCCTCTTCCTTTTTATCCTTTCCCAGAGATTTCCCAGCTTTGCTTTCTCTCCCCTCCCTTATCTATCACTAATGCACTTCATGTAAACCCCCTTCCATCTTCCCTTTTGATTCTGATGTATAAAATAAGTGGTAATACTGCCATTTCCTGGAGCATTTTCTCAATCCATTGAGATTCTGCTTCCTGGCAATTATCAGTTTGTCTCAAATAAACTCATAAAAAATTCTTATAGACTTGGATGTTTCTTATATTTGTGGTAGGCAGTTAGACAGACACGAACAGTGCAAGGATGATGGGCCAGGTCCAGAAGGTTACCAGGGAGGAAATTCCTGGGTGCCTAGCAAAGGACAATTGTAGGTGGGACCTCATCCCCAGGGTGACCTTTCCTCCCCTAGTATATCACTGGTCATTCGGTTTGGACCCCCTGATCTTTTCTACAATAGAGATAACATCTAGGCCTCAGTTGTATTTCAGCTC